TACATGTGAGTTTTTATAACAATGACATTACCAAGGGTTTTTCAAATAAATCTGTCTAAATGTGATGGGATTGCCTTTGTCAGTTTCAGTCTTAGAATTCTCATTCTCCAACTCCTCCCTATCTCAGCTCCTGGGTTAAGATTTATCCACCTATTTGAAAGTCAGAGTCACAGAAAGAGAGAGAAAAGAGAGGTCTTCCATCTGCTGGTTCACTCCACAGTTAGCCTCAAGAAGAGAGAGAGGTCTTCCATCTGCTGGTTCATTCCACAGTTAGCTTCAGTAGTCAGGGCTGGGCCAAGCTGAAGCCAGGAGCCAGGGGCTTCATTCAGATCTTCCACATGATTTTCAAGGACCCAAGCACTTGGGCCATCAGCTGCTTTCCCTAGGTCACCAGCAGGGAGCTGGATCAGAAGTGGAGCAGCCAGGACATGGTCCAGCACCCATATGGGATGCACATGTCACAGGAGGCAACCCCATCCACTGAGCCGCAGTGCCAGCCCAGAATGCTACGATCTGTGCTGTGATGGGAGGAAAAGCCATTGTCAAGAAACAAACTGAACTATGAAGTGGTGGTTAAAATGTACAATGATACATGGTTTAGCAAGATTCCTGGATTCAGCAAACTGAAACCCCTGTCCTCTATATAATATACACAAGTAGATAAGCATCATTATAGTTATACAACCATAAGTCACTAAATTCAGCCAGATTTTTTAATGTATAAATTATGGCTATTTCCAAAACTAATATTTTGTTCATCTCTGGATCTGTTCTGTTACTGGATTTTTTCTTTTAGCAATGGATCTTTTCTGCTACCTATGGTTTTTCTTATAATTTCATTGAATGTCTTACATTAAAGGTAGGAAACTGTGGAGACTAAGATAAATATTTAAACCGGGGGTCAGCACTGTGATGTAACTGGTTAAACTGCCACCTGCAATGCCAGCTCCCCATATGGGTGCCAGTTTGAGTCCTGGCTGCTCCACTTCCAATCCAGTTCCCTGCTAATGTGCCTGAGAAAGCAGCAGAAGATGGCTCAAGTGCTTGGACTTCTGAACTCACGTAGGAGACGTGGATGAAACTCCTAGCTTCAGCCTGGTCCAGCCCCGGCCATTGCAGCCATTTGAGGGGGTGAACCATTGGATGGAAGATCTCTCTTTCTCTCTCTCTCTCTCTCTCTCTCTCTAACTCTGCCTTTCAAATAAATAAAAATAATTTTTTAAAAATAAAATATTTAAATTGCCTATATTTAAAATGAATGTAACAAAATGTTTTTAAAAAGTAAAATCATAAAAAAAGAAAAAAAGCTCAAGAACATTTTCACGTTTAAGTGCATTTATGTTACCTGTGTCCTGAGTGTTCCATGTTTTGCCTCTTTTGTTTTGTCATTGATCTTTTTCTTATTGATTTATAGGAGTACTTTATGTATTAGGGAATTAAGCCTTCATGCTGTGAGTTATTCATTCATAGTATTCCATACTTTCCCTGCATAGTCCTTGTTCCTATTTTAATAATATACTTATGATTATTTTTAAAATTCCATAAGATCAAGATCCATGTCTATTTGTTTATCATTGTATATTCACTGAACACCAAGCAAAATGTTGAACACATAATAAATGATAAATTAATTATTTAATTAATAAATATATGAGCCAAACATGATAAAGAGAATCTATGATACATATAATAAACTAGACAATTGGGGGCCTGTGCTGTGGCATAGCAGGTAAAGCTTCTGCCTGCAATGCTGGCATCTCATATGGGCGCTGGTTCGAGTCCTGGCTGCTCCACTTCCAATCCAGCTCTCTTCTGTGGCCTGGGAAATCAGTGGAATATGGCCCAAGTCCTTGGGCTCCTGCACCCACGTGGGAGATGCAGAGGAGGTTCCTTGTTTCTGGCTTCAGATCGGCATAACTCTGGCCATTGTGGCCACCTGGACAGTGAACCAGCAGATGAAAGAGTGCTCTTTCTGTCTCTCCTTCTCTCTGTCTGTAACTCTACCTCTCAAATAAGTAAATCACTAAAATAAATAAATAAATATACACAAAAAAAACTAGAAAATTGAGACGGACACTTTATGGAAACATGATGAGCTTTATTTTTTGTATGTTGAGTTTTAGGGAGCAGCCAATATTCTAGGTTGAGCATGTTCAAAACTCTAATTTTGGCAATATACCCATGAAGATTTTGAAGTTATCACCATAAAGTTGATCATTAGAAACAGATAATCTCTGATAGAAAGATTGTTATGTGAGGGTTCACAAGCACTTACAATCAGAAACAATTTCAGTTGGTTATAGTTATAGTCATATCAATTTTAAAATGAACTTGAAAAAGGGAAATAGAATGAAGGGGGAATGTAATGAAAAGGGGGAATAGATTATATATTTCAATATTTGGAGTAGTAACAATTATTGCAAAGTATTTATATAATGTTATAATCACACCAAAATCATTTATTGTGACAAAAATGGAAACCTGAGTCCATCATAATCATTAGGCTTATGGAATCAAAAGTGTTCTTGTTGTATAAAGTATGCTATTTGTGTTTTTCAGATCATAATTGGACAGTGATTGTGCTATTACTAAACTACCAATGAGAGATTAATAACTCTGTTTAGTCTCCTAGTCTGCTGTTTATAAATTATATTAACTGCATGAAAAACAAGAAATTATTCAATCTTCTTAAAAGGAATGCTTATTTTCTCAAAAAAGAATTTATCCTAAAATAAACTATATATGCTATTTAATACACAAGGATAGCTATAGCTACAGTCATTGAATAACTATTTTGACTTAAATGCTTATGAGTTAGTACTTTTATTAGTCTGTTGTGAAGTCATATTTCTTGCTTAATAATTTTAAGACATAACCAAGGCAAGGTTTCTATTCTGAAAGTACAGGGAATGTAGTATTCCAATGTCAATCTCAATTTGCAAATGATCTTGAGGATGAAGTGAAACTATCTTTAAAGTATATACTTTTGGGGCTGCCATTGTTTCATGGCAGATTAAGCCACCTTCTGCAATGCCAGCATCCCATATGGGCCCCTGTACCCATGTTGGAGACCCAAAAGGAGTTCCAGGCTCCAGGCTTCAGCCTGGCCCAGTCTTGGCCATTGTGACCCTATGGGGAATGAGCCAGGGATGGAGGATCTGTTTCTCTCACCCTCTCTCTGTCTGTCTCTCTCTTTCCCTTGTTCCCTTTTTCCTTCCCTCTCTAACTCTGCCTTTCAAATAAAGACATAGAAATAAAATATATGCTTTTCTTAACCTTTTCACTTCAAAATATCTGTGACTTAAATTAGAAAAACAGATATAATTGTGCTCTCCAGAAAGATAAGTAATTTAACAGGAAAAATATTTATCACATTAGAATAACTTTCTACTTAACTTTAGCTGCCTTTGCCTTGTTGATCAGAATTCTGGTATTTCTGAGCACTTTTTGGTCTGAAAGCAAATTCCTGTGTATAGTCATCAGATTCTTCTCTGCAGGTAAGGGACTTGTCAGTGATGAATGAAGTGATCTGTAAAAAAAGATGTAGAAAGTGTGAAGATGAAAAGTCTACTTGAACTGTTGCAGTAGCAGCTAGGGCCTGTCTGGCAGGTGCTGGTGGTGGACCCTAGAGGAGACAGAGTGTCAGTTCCTAGAAGAGACAGACAGAATGTCACTTCTTAGCCTTTTCAGAAGTCAATCATGTGCTTATGCTGAGTTCTCACAAGTGCTTATGTTCTACTTAGAATAGGGACATTTATTCACTGAGAGAACCAAATCTCCAAAGTGGCCTGTGTTAATATATGAAGGAAACAGTGACAGAATTTTTGCCTAGGACCTTATTTGATACAATTTGTAAATTGTTAAAAGACTGGACTTCAGTATAAGGGAAAAGCTTTTGGTTTGTTTTTCTTTATTACAAAACAGCATCCAGATATCACTGCTTCTCAAAGAATCTTCTCTTAAAATAGTGAGCACTGATGCACTCAAGGGGTTATTTCAAATAGTTACTGTTCCTTCAGCCCCTTGCTGAGACCTAGGAGAATGGAAATCATTGATTTGTTGTTAAAACTCAGCTACTTTCTGCTTCCTGAGCCATGAAAACCATTGTTTTGTGTGTATGTGTCTTGTACTCATCAAAGGAACCTTGATAAGCCAGTATCAAACAGCTGATCCAAAAGGTCACTTAAAATCCTTAGCAGTACTCAGGAATGCAGCAGAGGGTGAGAAACCCTTCTACAGACCTAGTGCCTAGAATTAGAACATCAAAGAATGTGACTGCCTAACATGGGGCTGTTCTCTGGGTACGATGAGGGCAGAAATATACTCACTTACAGAAATGGCCAAATGTTGCTTGCTTACTTTAATCTGCATCTCTTTACAGTTAACTATTCTAATTCCCATTATAGAAATAGAAGCTAAATTTAGCAAATTGTTTAGCCGTTTATGTTTAGTGCACCAAATTCTTAATTAACAAAGTAAAATGCCACAATCCATTATAAATCACTTTACTAAACTTTCAAACTTAATAAGGAATTTTGCCTTGTCCAAAAGCTGTGTTCACACCCCTGCTGATCTGGCACTCATGTTTGATTCCCTGTGGAGCTGAGTGAAAGAATGTAAAAGGAGCCAATTAAAGAAACATTGAGCCAGAATAGATGAGCAGAGGCCATCTTGTCCATCCTTCTGCCTCCAGGCAAAAACCATCCACTGCAACACAAAATTTTGCTTGAATCCTGCTGACAAAAATGCTCACCACATGTAAATGACAAGTCATAATCCAGTTATTGCAACTAAAGCAGATTGTTAACTGTTCAAAATGTATTTATTATATTCTAAAGATGCTGAATATGAAAGCTCATCTGAATTGGCCCTCTTCTTAGAAGACTATTTTGTACAAGAAATGTATTTAAATAATTGTAAAGATAGAGAGTTTTGTGTCCAGGAAATAAAGTTATCATCATCATCTTATTAAAAGTATTTTTGGTTTCCTTTCACTTTAGGCTTACCTTATGGGTGGGAGGAAGCTTACACAGCAGATGGAATCAAGTACTTCATCAAGTAAGTACAAACGTCTCAACCAAGTAAGCAATTTTCCTCACATCTGGAAAGAACCTGGGAGTTGCAGAATAATCAGCAAAACCAAGAAACCCCCTTGAGGTTAGAAAACTTAGTAAGAAGAAATGAAGCCTCACCATTTTCATTCCATGTGATTTAAATGCTAATATCAGATATCCTTTGGGAGAAAAATGGAAATAATTTCAAGGGACATCAAAAACTTAGAATCATCATTTGAACTTAAATATTTGCTGCCTGAAATCACTTGCTGGCTAATATTATTAATATTTATGGAAAGTTAATATCTAATGAGAAGTCCATTTTGTAGGTCTTAAAACTTCTTAATAATACTAATAATAATCATCATGGGATTTACACAGTAGTGAGGAGAGAGACAATAAATAACTTGAGAGATAAATAGGACAGTATTTGAGCAAACTTTATTTCAGTGGATTCTCAGAACAGCCCTTTGAGGTTTATGTATCCAATCATTTTCCCTATTTTATAGATGAAGAAAATAAGAGCCTTGAGTAAATGCCAAAAAAAAAATCACAGCTACTAAATTAACAAGCCAGGACTAAAATCAAAGCACACTGACCCAGATCTTGTCTACTATACTAGGCTAGCACTAGAACAGGAATCCATTTTCTAGCTACTGGACTGTTTAGTTTTACCCTGGACAAAGCAGTCTGCTGTACTTCCACTATATTCTGGGTAACTCCTTTCACATCAAAATTGGCAATATGAGAGAACAAAGAGAAATCCCAACAGACTCCCAAGATTCAAAGAGATTCCCTTGAATAGCTATTAGCAAATTATACTTCCCTGTATTTTATGGGGAAAGAGGAGTTATGTCCTTGCTGTTCTTTCAAGATTTTGGATTCTCAAACCCTGTGACTTTGCATAACTTCCTGTGTTTCTCATAACCTCCATTTTCTCATCATAAGATAAGGGGAATATAACCTACTTTATAGATTGTTAAATGTTAAGAACCTCCTATAGAACTCTGAACACAGTAGGTGACCAAGAAACTGTAGTTTTACAATTTGGAAAAACGACTATCGTGGAAAATTACCCTGAAAAATCACATCACTGTTGAAAGAATTGAGCAGGGTTTACGGAAGAACTAAGTTTAAAACCTGGCAAAGGGTTTTTTCCTTGTAGTCTCTAACAAAAATTGACAAATGAAGCAAAAGTATATTTTATAACATGTGGAAGGAAAGGAACTTTTGGAAAAGAGGACCCAGGAATTCAATCTGCAGATCACAGTTAGCATCACACTATTTTATTTCCATAAGAAGACTCGCCTTCTGATATGCTGATTAACCTGTTTAGTTCCCAGAAAGTTTGGATCACTGCAGTGCTGATATGACGGAAATGAAAACCACATTCACATTTGAGCTACTACTAGATGGTGTTCAATAGCCAAGCATATTTGTGTGCAGTAGTTTTCTGTGCACTTAACAATTTAAGCATTTTAAAAATGTGGAAAATAGGTGTTCTTTGACCCTTTTTTTTTTCTTTGACAGGCAGAGTGGACAGTGAGAGAGAGAGACAGAGAGAAAGGTCTTCCTTTGCCATTGGTTCACCCTCCAATGGCCTCCACAGCTAGCGCGCTGCTGCCAGCGCACTGCGCTGATCCGATGGCAGGAGCCAGGTACTTATCCTGGTCTCCCATGGGGTCCAGGGCCCAAGCACCTGGGCCATCCTCCACTGCACTCCCGGGCCAGAGCAGAGAGCTGGCCTGGAAGAGGGGCAACCGGGACAGAATCCAGCACACCGACCAGGACTAGAACCCGGTGTGCCGGCACCTCAAGGCGGAGGATTAGCCTAGTGAGCTGTGGCGCTGGCCGTTCTTTGACTCTTAGTAGTGGTGAGCTCTGTATTGCCTCTAGCCATGCCTTTATCCCTGAAGGACCTGAAAAGAACTGGATGATCAGAGGAAGGAAAACCAGCATGCACTATGAACTGGGGTTATGGGAAATGTCAGAAAGTGAAACTGGGCCCTTTACCTAAGCTTAGCTGTCTGTCAGTGTATTCTAACCCAAGGATGAATGTCAGAACCTAACTAATGTTGTATGAGAAAAGGGGCCAATTGGCCATAACAAAGAAGAAAAAGGAAGCAAGAGATGGCCTGGAGTTGGTTTGTCTGGTACCACCTAGCTTAAGCCACTGTCCCTTACAGAATGGAACAATAGCTTGGGCTGGACCCCTACTGCACAAGATAACAGCACCAAGGAGAAAAGACAAAAGAGAAACAGTCAACAAGCCCTTGGCTTCCCTGAGATCTAAAACACAGTTTCTGTAAAAGGAATAGAGGTACTATATTACTTTAGTCCCCTTCCTCCACTCAGAAAATGCACCCCAAAGGGTGTGTTTTGGAAGCCCATGAATTCTCTTCCTTGACCTTAATCTTGGTGCACAAGGAAAGCAGAAGAAAGATGACAAGATAACTTTGTTCCTCTAAAGGCAGTGGTGGATATCATTGTTTCACCATTACAGTTGGAGATACTGTTTGTAAAATAGGCCAAACTCAAGAAAATTGCAGAGCCAAGATACACATCCAGGGTGGTCTGGCTCCAAAGCTACCCTCCTACATACACATCTCCATGCTGCACCACTTCTCCTGATAATAATGTAGTTTGTTGACGTGTGACAAGATCTTGATTTAGATAGAGCTCTGCACTCTATCCATTTTAAAATTGCAGAATAGCAACTTAGTTCTAAGAATGAGTAGTTATCTCCTGGAGATTAGAAAGGTCAAAGAGTGAGAATGTTAAAATCTAACAGTATACCAGTGTTTCCTTTACTCAGTCTCACGGAAGAATGGGGTGCTTGTTATGAGTTACTTTCTGTTGTTGAACTTAATCCCACTCAAGCACCAAGACTTATTTTAGTTTAACTGTTCAAGATGAAAGTCTTATTTAATAATTGTTACCTACTTCCCTACCTTCTTACCCAAAGGCTACCGAACAAAATCATGATGAACCTCCATCATCATACATAATACAGTGAGTTCTACAGGCGATATGAAGCTTTATAAGCTGTACTAGAGACACAGCTATCATCTCTTGCTGTGCTCAGTGTGCCTGTTTCTCTTCTCATCTCCTGTCTCCATTTTTTCCTGCACACAATCTGCCTTCTTTCCCAGGTGTTTCTAAGTTGAGGAGGACAAAGTATTGGATAATCAGGCTAATACCAATTTCTTGTAAATATCTTGCAGGGATTCTTATGTTAGTCAACTATATAAGTTCTAGTCCAGGTAGATTTGATTACAGGAAAGCCTTCTGTTTTAAGGGAAAGAAGAGCATGGACTTTAAACTTGGATTCAAATGCTGATGCTTCTGCAGAAAGCTGAGTGACTTTAAGCACATTGACCTGACCTCTCTGGTCTTTAATTTTCATTTACAAATATAATTTGCATTTATCAAATGAACAGTATATTTCCACTCCATAGGGTTCCTGTGCACAGTGAACAAGCTTATGTATGCAAAGAGTCTATCATAGCTCCACGCCCAAAGTAGACACTTTCAGCAAAGGTCAGCCCTCTTCACTCCCTTCCCTCTAATGTTTTGGTGGGTGGTTCTTCAGGGCTTTTAGTTGCATTATTGTTAGACAATATTGCCAGATAAGTAAAGTCTGCATAAGCAAATATCTGCTATGTCCTTCTTGGAACTATTTAGTTTTGTTTTTTTTTTTTTAAAGATTTATTTATTTACTTGAAAGGCAGAGTTAAAGAGAGGGTCTCTCTCTCTCTCTCTCACACACACACACACACACACACACGCACAAGCTGTGGGGGTCATGGGGTGGTGACAGGAATCTTCCATCTTCCACTTCACCACTCAAATGGCTGCAACAACCCACACTGGGTCAGGCACCAGGAGCCTGGAACTCCATCTAGGTCTCCTATGTGGGTAGCAAGGGCCCAAGCACTCAGGGCATCTTCTGCTGCTTTCCCAGTACATTAGCAGGGAACCAGAGCAGAAGTGGAGCAGCTGGGACTCGAATCAGTGCTCATGTGGATTTCTGGCGTCACACATGATAGCCCAACCTGCTAAGCCACAATGCAGACCCCTTTTGGTGGTTTTTGTTTTTAAATTTTCGTCTTTCCAGTATTACAACCAAAATTTGAGCCTAAGTAGCCTGTTAGCTTTTGAGATTAGTGGTGGTTCATTTGCCAGGTGAATGATACTTTGGAGGCAAGAAATCACAAATAATGAACGCAGAGCTTCGCCGCTGTCACCTCTGCTTAGAAAGCATAATGACTGGAATCACTGTCCCAGAACACTGGAAAGGATATGATCTGTATACGTATAATCTCTTCCTGAAACTGACACCAGTCACTGTCTCCCCCAGAAACTGAATTGTTAAATCTGTTAGAAGCCAAGCCTCAGGCAAGGGAGTAACTGTCAGTGCTGTCCTAAGGATGCCCATAGGAACATAATTTCATTGAATATTCTGAGACATCCACATGTCCACTGCACATCTATAAATACTTTGTCCTCTACCAAAGTTCTGTTGCAGAAGAAAGTATTTCATCTCATGTAAACAAATTTCATTAGCCTTGGCATTGCTAGAGCCAATGTTTCATAGACCTAACAAACATGTATAACTCTGTGTGTCTATATAGCGACTTGTGAATGCATATATGCTTGTAGTTAGTGTTTACTCACTTGCTATAAATAAATATATATATATATAGCCAACTTTTTCTTTTTTTAAGATTTATCTATTTATTTGAAAGAGTTACATAGAGAAGGGGAGGCGGAGAGAGTGAAAGAGGTCTTCCATCCGCTGGTTCACTCCCCAACCAACAGCAATGGCCAGAGCTGGGCTGATCCGAAGCCAGGAGCCAGGAGCTTCTTCTGGGTCTCTTATGTTGGTACGGGGGCCCAAGGAGTTGGGCCATCTTCTACTGCTTTCCCAGGCCATAGCAGAGAGCAGGCTCGGAAGTGGAGCAGCCAGGACTCAAACCGTTGCCCATATGGGATGTCAGCACT